ACAATCAGGCACATGAGGGGGGAGATCTGAATAAAATAGGTGGACTATATCACAGATGGACTATATCAATGTTCACATCCTGGTTGTTAATATTTTATTACAGTTTGCAAGATGTTACCTCTGGGGGAAACTGGATAAAGGGTACAGGGACCTCTCTCTATTATTTTTCATAACAGCATGTCAATCTACAAGTATCTCGAAGAAAAATTTTTTCCACTTTGGACCTTTTACTTGCAATGACCTGTCCACTGCTTTGTATGAATTGTACAGTGTCTTGTAAGGATTTGAAAGATCCAAGGCTTCAATAAATAAAGCAAAAATGAATTCTTCAAGCAATAAAGTTTGAAAAGAAAAAAGTTTACCTTAAAAAAAAAAGACATATCCAAAAAATGAATTGAACTTAATAAGTTCAAAAACAAAAAAACAAAACTCAGAGAGGGCTCAGCAGCTTTCTCATCATGTTTAAGTGCCTGGCTGAGTTACTGGTGGGGCCGGCGCCGGGTTTATGAGCTACCAGTGTGTCCTGTCACTCCATGTATTCGAAGCTAGTAACAGCAGAACTGTTACTCCCCAATGATGAGTTCTACTAAAAAGTTCAAATACAAGAGATTCATTCAGATCTCAAGGGACAGATCTCACACTCCAGCACTGATAGAGAGATGACAGGTGCAGATTCCTATGATACATCGTTTTCTAAAACAACGTGGCAAAGTACCACTGGCTCAAGGTAAGTAAGACCATTTCCCACCTCCTAGGCCACACTTCTGCAACACTGACTGTAAGAGCTTCTCTCATGGTAAACAAGTGTCCACAGGCTAACAATCTATATTGTTGCTCTGTAAAGATTCAAAATGAAAGCGTATTCCACTTGTACTCTAAGAAATACTACCCTAAACTTTGGTTTCACATTCAGTTTTTATGTCTCTTCTTAGCTACTTCCCTCCCCCTTTTTTCCATAAATAAAAGTGCACTTTTTATTTATTTTTTAAAAGATTTTTAATGTTTATTTTTGAGAGAGACAGAGACAGCATGAGCAGGGGAGGAACACAGAAAGAGGGAGGCACAGAATCTGAAGCAGGCTCCAGGCTGAGCTGTCAGCACAGAGCCCGACGGGGGCCTCAAACTCACAAACCGTGAGACCATGACCTGAGCCAAAGTCAGTTGCCTAACTGACTGAGCCACCCAGGCGCCCTAAAAGTGCACTTTTTACAGGCATCTCAGGTTTGCTGTCAAATAGACAAATCACATTTCAGTATCTCAGCAAACAAAAACATTAAAATGTCTTGCCTAAGATTATTCCTTCTTTAAACTGATTACCAGGTTTAAGTTTTACAAGTTCTTAGTAAAACCTCCAAACTGACAGCTTGAACAAAAGGGGAAAGTACACAACGGTGTTTCCATTCAATGGAATATTAACTGCACAGCTCAAGAGATCTATATAAATGGGCGACAAGTGAAAAAAGGAAACAAGGTACACAGCATATATATTTACATCAATAAAAACACATAGCTTCGCTTTATATGCACACGTGTATTTACAATTTTTAAAAAATCAGAAAGACCCAGGCAGCAAACATGGTTGTCTGGAGCCAGAAAAACTTCACTTTATACATTCAATGAGCCTGTAAGGTGTTTTATTTTTACAAATTAAGAACATGTTCACATTGTCACTTCTCTAATTGTTTTTTTTTTAATACACAGATTCATGAATTTTAACCTTCCTCAGTAAAACTTACCAACAATTAGGCATCTAGAATTATTTATGCATTCTTTTATGTATGTTCAGGCTCTAATTATGCCATGTGTAGGAATTATCATTAGGCATCTACAAATACTCTAAAATTTAGAGCAGATATTTATTATCTTACTATGTGACACTATTTAATGGCCTTTTGACAATTCTGATTTCAATTCCTCAAGCCAGAAACCCAGGGCTCAGAGTTGACTCTGGACTGAAGAGAAAATGAGAGATCTAAAAAATTAGGGAAATCATTCCACTTTCTTCCAAAGGGTACCTACTCCAAATTTAAATCATGGTGTGAAAGACGACAAATGTAGAAACAGAACAAAAGATAGGTGTTATCATTTGCCAGGTAACTTCCCTTTTCTCCAGCCCCTTTCTCAAACAAGATACTTCCCTAAGAATTTCTGCCCAAAAGGTTGCCTTAAGCCCCAAACTGTGTGCCTCAGAAGCCTTCAGAAGCAGTTTCCTATCCTCCACATTACTTACCAAATTAAACCAAAATCCATAATAATTCAAAATATTCACAGTATGCTTGACAACACTTCTTCACTTGTGGCAAAGTATATTTGGTAAAAGTATTTACTACATTTAGCTACAAAGAGGGCTGTGTTTTGAGCACAAGCTGCTGGAAAACTTTAAACTCAGAGAAATCATTCAAAAAAGAGAGGAGTGATTATTTTTAAAATATTACCTGTTCTCCCAAGGGTCTATATATTCAAAATGTAACACAGACTGCGTTAAGTCATAATAACGAGTAGGACTATAAATTCTTGCTGTTTTTATTGCTAGCTTCTTTTTCACATACGAAAACCCTATGGGTAAGACATGTGCTATATTCAACACACGCCAGAAATGCAGTCCACTGGGGTAGCACTGGGTCCTAAACGGTGGGAATAGTTTTACATTCAGTAGTACGTAAGTTTTACTCCAATCCACGCCAAAACTGGACAGAAAGTTATCAAATTTGATCATGTTCTTCTCACTCTGTGCCTATTAAACAAATCAAAGTTGAATACAAAAACCATTAATGTTTCTACTTAGATTAAGCTCCAACTTTCTTTTCATCCAGGGCTGTGTTTCTATGGTTACTCTGTAGCTGTGACTTCAACCTCAAAAGGCACTTTTGTTTATTACAAATATTATAACAAATTGAAATATTTTCGTAGGAAACTTCATATTGTTAAAACCAAAAATATACTAAGCCTACAGATCTGCTGAGAATCCCACACAAACAGTTAACTGTGTACTGTTCGTTCCTAATCATCTGGGTTAAAGGATTTGTCAAACCAACTCTTCCTCGGCTGGGCCACTAGAGAGTGCTAGAAATGCAGTTATATAGGACCCAAGTGATACATAATACCACCCTCCCGCCCAAATCTGGAGCATAAAAGATGAAGGACATTAAGTTTCCTAACTGGTACACTACCAAAAGGTACTGCAACACTGACAGATCTGCAGTTTGAAGGAAGTATGTATCACCACCTCTTATCTGTCTGTAGCTCGAGTTCTTATTAGTGAATAACAGAGATGTACTTCAACAGTTTTCAAACTAAGCAACTGACATTAAACGTTAATCCAAAACACAGCGCGTGCGCACACACACCAAATGGGATTCCTTCCTTTAGGAAAGGAGACAAAGTTAATGAGGTGTTAAACTGGACTCTTTCAGCTTTGTTAAAAAATTACAGGGGGAGAGGAGAGAGAAGAAAAAAGCAGGGGATTCCTTACTTAACCCAATATGGAGGAGAATCTTACAGATTACAGATCATATAAACCTCAACCAATAAACTAATACGGAGCAGTAACAATATTATCGCCTGAAGACCGACGGGTTCAACCAGGCTATTTTTTAGGAGCACATAATTCCATTAGAAAGAATCTCACTCTGATCCTAATAGAAATCATTTCCGATTTTAGTTCACTCTAAGAGGTAATGCTTCCCAACACTATTGATAAAAAGAAAGAAAACTGGTGCTTAACCTTCCCAATAATCTCAGGGGATGTTAGTCCCGCTCTCCCCCAAACACACTAAAAAGCTATCCAAGGTGGACGCCGCCTAATACACCTCTCAACCGCGCTAATACGCAAAATCGCCTCACGTAGTACCAAGGTTTATTCAGATAAGAATACTGTTATTTTCCGATTTCCAAATCATGAATAAGCCTAACAGAATATATTATCTAAAAAATATAACACTAAAAATGTAATTTCTCCAACATGTCGCGGAGACGATCAGTTTCTTACTAAAGCCTCCTAATGCAGAAAGCACACCACTCTCCCACCTTCCAACCAGAAAGATCTTTTCTTGTAAATCCACTCCTAAATAGCTGCAAGCGATTCTCCAAACCACCACCGTGCTGATAACGAAATGGCTCCCCCGGATATAGGTCGGAACACTGGCTTGACTTGCTCCATTCCCAACTGTCACCCTCCCTCCACTCACGTCCAAATCTGAAATGAGGGGGGGGCGATTCCATCTCCCTACAGTCGTTCCTGCGGACACTGGAGCCGGTGCGGGGTTTTGCCCCAGGACTACACAATTGTAGCTTCGCCCTAACAACTCCCGATCCCGACACGCGCTTCCGTTTCCCTAACCCAGGTAAGCTTTGATGCACATTCCATCCAGAGCTCAATATGGTGGCAAGGGGCTGCGATCACCCAACAGGCCCCGGAGTCTTTGTCCCTTCTAGTTTTCCGTCTTACGTTTTCTCATTGACCCCATCCCCCACCCCGAACCCTGCCCCGCCCTGGAGGGTTCGCGGGTGAGGCCCAGCGCTGGAACGTGGGACACCTTCCCCCTCGGTACCAGGCTTCCACCGCAAACCTGGAGGAGAAAACCGCCCCCTTCCCAGGTCTACACTCGTCCACCCCCGGAACTGGACACGCCCCAAACCCCGCCCCTGCTCCGACCCCACCCGCGCAGCAAAGCGGAGGGGCGGAGGAAGGTGGGGGAGGAGAAAAGAGGGCGAGGGAGGGCGAGGGAGGGCGAGGGAGGGCGGGGGCGGAGAGGATGGGGAGAAGGGGGAGGAAATTGGAAAGGAGAAGCACCCTCTCGCCCCCCCAACCCGCTTGCGAGCACAGCCCCAGGGGGTGGCGGGGTCGGCAAGAGGCTAATAAATCCTCCTTTCTCCTCGCTCCCAACAGGGCCCAGAAGCCCCACCACAACCGGCTCGCCGGGCAGCGCTGCAGCAAAAGGGGTCTCCTCCGGCCCCCAGCGCAGCCCGCAGGTTTCCGGGGGGAAAGGGGGGGGTCTCACCTTGCGCTTGCGGGCCTCCGCTGTGCCGCTCCACACGAAGCACTGGTAGATGGCCCGCAGGTTCTGCTTCCAGTTGTCCACCTTGAAGCTGCTCAGGTGCGAACAGCCCGGAGGCGTCACCACCAGCTCCGCGTCCATGGCCTCGCTCTCCGGCTCCGGCCGGGAGACCATGGGGGGCAAGGCCCGGCCGCGCGCGGGGGGCGGCGAGGGGGACGAGGACGACGCCAGCGCCGTGCTGGGGGCTGTTCGGCGGCGCGCCCCGGCCGGCCGGGGGACGGGCGCCGGGAACAAAGCGCGGGCGGCCGCGGGGCCGGCGGACAAAGACCGGGCTGCGCGTACGCCAACGGGGAGGCGGCGGCCAGCCAGGCGCCGCCCGCGCTGCGCTCGCCGGGTTCGCGGAGCGCGGCGCGGGGCGGGGCGCGGAGGCCGCGGGCGGAGGTTACGTCATCCCCTGCCGGCCTTGGGCGCCGCACTGCGCAGGCTCCGGCCGCTCCCGGGCCCGCCCCGCCACCCCTCCGCCTCTCGAGCCCGAGACCGCAGGCTCCGGGACCGTCCGCGCCAGAGTGGACGGCGGGGCCGCGGAGCCCACGAGGGTCCGGCCCCGGGCCTCAGCGCCAGTGGTGCTATCGTTAGCTGTCAGTTCAGGCCGCCTGGCTCAGCTGCCTCTGGCCAAGCTGAGTGCCACTTGTCAGTCCTGATCTCCCAAGGAGAACGGGGGAGGCTGGAGCGAGCGGAGGACTGGGTGCTGCGCGATGTCCGTCGGGGCACTGAGCCGGTTTGCACCGGCCTGAGCTCTGCCGCAAAGAGGCGGAGCCACGGGCTGGGCCTTGCAAATCCATGCAGTCTCCGCTGGCCTCCGTCTCCGTGCTGAACCCCCAGCCTGGGCTTCCCCCCCCCCCCAAGGCGGTACGTCCCTGGTTCGCTGTCAGTTTTGTTAGCAAAAGGAGTCCCTCATCTGGGACTCCGCGGGGCCTCTCCCATCTTTGTAGCTGGTAGCTGCTGGGTATTGAAGTGATTAAGATCATATCCTACTTTGATAATCTCACAATGGATGCTATATGATTTCACTTATGCGGAATTGAAGAAACAAAACAAATGAACAAGCAAAGGAAAAAAGAAACATATAAAACCCATCCTCTGAGAAACAACAAACTGGTGGCTGCCTGACGGGGGTGGGGGGTCATGGATGAAATAAAAGGGATTAGGAGTACACTTATATTGATAAGCGCTGAGAAACTGCTGTAGCACTTTATGTTAATTACACTTCAGTAAGAAAGAAAAATCCCGCAGTAGTATGTAAATTGATGCAGCCACTGTGGAAAACATTAAAACGTTAAAACATTAGAAAGAGAAATACTACATGAGCCAGCAAATCCACAACTGGGTATTTACCCAAAGAAAATAACACTAACTCGAGAATATCTGCACCCACAACTGGGTATTTACCGAAAGAAGATAACACTAACTCAAGAATATCTGCACCCCTCTGCTTATTGTACCGTTATTTGTGATAGACAAGATATGGAAGCAACCCAAGTGTCAATTGGTATATGAATGGATAAAGATGTGGTATCCATTCATGCATACATACATACATACACAATACAGTATTATTCGGCCATAGAAAAGAGTAAGAGCTTGCCATTTGGAATAACATGCATGGACCTCGAGAGTATTATGCTAAGTGATGTAAATCAGACAAATATCATGATTTCACTTATATGTGAAATCTAGAAAACAAACCGAACAAACAAAGCAGAAACAAACCCATGAATACAGAGAACCATCTTGTGTTTGCCAGAAGGAAGTGGGAGATGGTGGGATGGGCAAAAAGGATGAAGGGGAACAGGAGGTACAGCTTCCAGTTATGAAATGAATAGGTCACAGGGATGAAGGTACAGCATAGGGAATACAGTCAATGGTATTGTAATAGGGCTGCATAGTGACTGATGGTAGCTACCCGTGGTGAGCATAGCATAATGTATAGAGTTGTAGAATTACTGTGCTGTACACCTGTAGCTGCTGTAAAACATTGTGTGTCAACTATAGTTAAATTTTAAGAAAGGAATCCCACAATGTAATGGGATAAATAGCAACATTAGCAGGCAATTACAATAATATGAAATTGCAGAGATAAAGGAAAGTCCAGGTAATAGGAAAACACTCCAAGACACCTCTCACCCTAATCCCATTCAGGCAGTCATAGTGGAGAGAATCCAGAAATGTTTCGTATGCCTTGCATAAGCATAGAAGGAAGGGTAGGAGTTGGCCAGTTTTTAGAAATAAACGACATGTTGAAAAAAAAGGAGGGGAGCCGTGTGGCTCAGTCAGTTAAGCGTCCCACTTCGGCTCAGGCCATGATCTAACCGTCTGTAAGTTCAAGCCCTGTGTCAGGCTCTGTGCTGACAGCTCAGAGCCTGGAGCTGCTTCACATTCTGTGTCTTCCTCTCTCTCTCTGCCCCTCCATCACTCATGCTCTGTCTCTCTCTTTCAAAAACAAATAAACATTAAAAAAATAAAATAAAATAAATGACATGTTGAGAGATTTGCCTTCAACAGTATTGCCCACTATCTATGAGACTAACATGGTCTAAAATGTTATTTTCTATATGTGTGTTTTTTTTCTAATTTCTGTTTTCAAATTTAAAACACCCATGGAGAGGCGCCTGGATGGCTCAGTCGGTTAAGCGTCCAACTTCAGCTCAGGTCATGATCTCACGGTTCATGGGTTCGAGCCCCGCGTCAGACTCTGTGCTAACAGCTAGCTCAGAACCTGGAGCCTGTTTCAGATTCTGTATCTCCCTCTGCTCACGCTGTCTCTCTCTCTGATAAATAAAACATTAAAAAATTTTTAAATAAATAAATAAAAATAAAACACCCATGGATATATGCTTCCAAGATGATCTAACTGTCCCTTAGATGGCAGCTGTGATCTCTGGACAGAATACAAAAACAGACACCTGAAAGCATTGGAGAGTCAACCAAAGTGAGAGATTTGGGACCTGCACGAAGGAAGTAACCTGGTTTTTATGGCTTATACATTGAGGACAGGCTACACTTGAGGAACCCAAACAGGGAGGCTGAAACTCTGATAGAAGACTCCCCCTTTCTGGATTGAGGAAGCAAAGAACAGAGTACAAACCAACCAAACCACTGAAAAGTGAGGAGAGAGAGAGAGAGAGATAAGGGGAGCCTCAGAGTCTGTGTGTAAACTGTCTAAATATCTAGTTGACCACTTAGCCATTCATGGTTAAGTGAGGCAAATTCCAAACAGCCCAAGTAGAACAAAAAAAGCAAGCCGAGATTTAAGCTGCCACCTAAGAAATAAATTCTAAATTAGTGCCAGCTGAAACAAAAATATCTACTCTCTTTGGAGATATACAACGAAATCCATACTTAAAACAATATAACATTCATAACATTCAGGATACAATCCAAAACGATCTGACATATGAAGAAAAATATGAAAATACAATTCATTTTCAAGAGATAAGACAAAGTTGAGCCACCCTATGATGTATGAGATGGTAAAATTAGCATATGAGGATTTCAAAGTGGTTATGATAACTGTGCTTGGTGAAGTAAAGGACAGTATCCTTGAAATGAATGAAAGGATAGGAAATAACCCCAGGAAATACAAACTGTATAAAACCAAATGGAAGTCCTAGAACTGAAGTATACAGTTATCTTCAATAAAAAGGTCACCAAGAGGGCTTAAGACCAGAATAGAAATGACAGAGGAAAGTAAGGAAACTTGGAGATAGATCAAAGGACGGGCGCCTCTGTGCAGACGAACAGAGCCTCACAGACTTGTGAGACAGTATCAAAAGGCCTAACATATGTGTAATTCAAGTCCCAGAATGAGTGAGGAGAGAATATGAGAATGAAAATATATTTCATGAGATAATGGCAGAAGTGTTCCCCAGTTCGGTGAAGGACATAAATATACAGATTCTAAACTGCCATTGAATCCCACGTAGAATAAGTGTGAAGAAAACACGTCTAGGCACAACACAGTTTACTAAAAATAAATAACGAAGAGCAAATCTTTTTTATTAAGTTTATTTATTTATTTTGAGAGACAGAGTGTGAGCAGGGGAGAGGCAGAGGGAGAGAATCCCAAGCAAGCTCTGAGCCAACAGCACAGAGCCCAACGCAGGGCTCAAACCCACAATTGTAAGATCATGACCTGAGCGCAAATCAAGAGTTGGACGGTTAACCAACTGAGCCACCCAGGCGCCCCAAGAGCAAATCTTGATAGCAGCTAGAGAAAAACAAGACATTATATATGGAGAACAATGGAACAATGTTTTGAAAGTACTGAAAGATACTTAGATATTGCAAATGACAGGATTTCTTTCTTATAGTGAATAACATTCCATTGTACTTCTATAGATACAACACATTTTCTCTACTGTGGTCAATGGAATATTATTTAGTCATAAAAAAGGAGATGCGTAACATGGATGGACTCTGAGGGCATTATGCTATGTGAAAGAAATCAGAAAAGACAAATATCATATAATCTCACTTATATGTGGAATTAAAAAAAAAATAAAGAAAGAAAACAGGGGTGTCTGGGTGGCTCAGTCGGTTAAGTGTCAGACTTGGACTGAGGTCGTGATCTCCCGGTTTATGAGTTTGAGCCCTGTGCCAGGCTTTCTGCACTGATAGCACACAGCCTGCTTTGGATTCTCTGTCTCCCTCTCTGCCCTTCCCCTGCTTGTGCTCTCTCTCTCTCTTTTTCTCTCTCTCTCTCAAAAATAATAAACATTTTTTTAAAAATCTATGCTAAGATTTAAAAAAAAAAAAACAGAAAACAAAAAACCCCAAACTCATTGATACAGAAATTAGATTGGTATTGCCAGAGATGGGGATGGATGATAGGCAAATTTGTATGGTGAAGGATATTAATGAAACATATTATTGTAATCACTCTGCAATATATACATACATCAAATGATTATGTTGTACACCAAACACTAATATAATGCTATATGTCAATTTTATCTCAATTTAACAACAACAAAAATAGCAATGCCAAAGTTTTATTTAACTTATTAACAAGGAAACAACAGGAAGATATAGACAGGTCAAAAGATCATATGAGAAAATGGTATTTTGATAATCAGTGGGAAAAAAAGGGAATGATGAAATAAGATTTTCTAATTATTGCTTTAAAACTTGGTCACTGTCCTACAGCAATGTTTCTCAAACTAGAGGGTATAACAGAGGAAGCTTGGATCCTGGGCTTCACCCCTGGAGTTTGTGATTTCATAGGTCCAGAGTGGAGCCGGAGAAACTTCATTTCTTATCCACTCCCAGCAGATGCTGATGCCACTGGTCCGGGAGCCACACCCTGAGAACCACTGTTCTCTAAGAAAATGCAACTGTAAGCTTT